GAGAATAATAAAATGTAACAAATACAAAATAAGAAAGACTTACGCAATAAAACATTCATAAAAAACTAAATTAAAAAGTTTAATGAAAAAAAAAAAGACAAAAAGAAACAGATCTAAGGAAAAATATAATGTATACATTATTCTTATAAGACTGATGTATGCATAGATGAAAAAATAAGTACATAACTCTCTGAGTTCTTATCAACTCCTTCCATATCCTATCAAAATTCTAGAGGCTTCTTCATCTACTTTAACTATAGAATAAACATGTAGCCTAATAATCTTGGTAGGAGTTTCATGAGATAAAGAAGTTGAATTTATATAGATAGAATAGAAGGAATATCAAAAGAAATCTTAAAGTTTTAGTTTAAATATTTAGATGTTATGAATATGAAAAGATGGGAGTTATGAATATTAAGAGTATAAAAGTTGAATAAGTAATTAACAAATAATAATAAATAAATGAAGAATATGAAAAAGAAAATTAAAATTAGCAAACCATGTAGAAAGAACAACTAAAGTTCTTATCACGTAATAAGCGTTAATGAATTTAAATTTGTGAAGATAGAGTCGTTCTTTAATAATAGTCAAGAGGACAGTATCAATGTGTGTCTCCATTTTGCAGATTTGCAATCTTTAAATTATTAAATTTCGTTATTTATCATTAAGGATAACACTTTATCCATATAAATTATATTATTCATGTTAAGGAAAAAATTATGAGAAGAGGAAAAATATAGCAATTTAGATAGAGATCATTTTAAAAAAAAATTAGAATTATTATATATATAGATTATAAATCATAAATATTAATTAATTAGATATTTAATTAGAAATTAATCTTAAGAAGTCTAAAAGTCATTAACATTTTAATTAAATTTATACAATCAAATATTTAAATAGTTTATAACAATTTAATTTATAGAAGGGGTAAAATCGTAATTCAACTTTTAACTTTTTTTGTTCATGCTTTTAGTAATATATGATTGAATTATGCACATAACATAAATCTTTATAAATTGATTCTTAAAGCATATTGAAATTTTAATTCTGAAAGTGTTCTTAGAATAATGGAGAGAATCTTCATATTCAACTTTCATTTTTACAAAATTATGATTATGAGTAATAATTAATATTTAATAATCACGCGAAAGAATAACTTAACTATTTATGGGTCCAACCAATAATCTGGAAATTGAGTTTGCAATTTTTCAGTCATAATTAAAATTTTACATCAACAATAATAGCTTCTCATCACAGTAAATAGAAGTATGATGCAAACAATATATAAGTTCTAAAAGACATCATCAATTTGGTACATATGCAAATGATATAAACACTAATTGATATATTACGAATACACCTGCAGCCATCATCATAATTATTATGTTAATTATTTTAATTATTCCATCACATATGCATCTTCTTTTTAACCTTAAAGAAATATTATCATATGATTTATGAAGAGAAAAGAATAATACTCTCTTTTTTTATAAAATTTCCCTTTGAATAATTAATATAAATGGAGCAACACAAACTTTTCAAAATGACTTATTCTAGATATATGGTCAATTTGAAGAATGAATGTTTCCACAAACAAATAATAAACTAATAAGATCAATAGATTATACAATATAAACGAAAAGTCAAATAAAAAAACATTTAAAAAAATCATATGTGATTTTTTTCATTTAGTTATTCCTCTCATTACTAATAAATAATAATCTCAAAAATATATTTAAACTAAAGTAAAACACTCTATAGATAGTCGCAAATAAAAATTAACTGATTAATCTTTCATTATGAATTTCATCAATGATTAAGAAATATAGGAGAACATGAATTGTATATAACTAATTTTCATATAGGACACAAGATATTCCACTAGAAAACAAAATTATAAGAAAGTATATCGATCAAAATATTAAAAAAGGATGTACAAAATACTTAAGCTTGACAAGAATGAGTGGATAAAAACAAAAGGAAATTATTGCAATACAATATAATGAGCAAGATTAATTTTTTTGCTTGATAATCTCTCATCCTCCTCTTATCACTTACATAAAGACCATGCTAGGTATTTTATAGCTGTAGGTACGATGACTTTTGAGTAGATAAAATTAATTTCATTAAATTAGTTCGATGATTTTAGTCCATATCAAATTTATGTAAAGGAAAAACTCTTCAAATACTCTTGATTTTTACAACAAAAGAGAAATTAATTATTAATGTGAATTTGATTCATGCACTGATTTAAATAAGTTATTTATTAAATATTTAATTATATTTTATATTATTTGTTTTAATTATTTTATATTATTATTTGTTTTAATTATTTTAATATAAGGGTAAAATGGTAATTCAACTTTGAGCTTTGAATCTTCCCACTTATAATAATATGATTTACAAGTTAATCATATCAATATCATATCATATATTATTATAAGTGGAAGATTTTATCTTCAAAGTTGAATTATAGTTTTGTCCTTATTATTAACTAGTTCTGGAAATGTGTCTTGCACGTTTGACCTCTGTTACTGTTACAATTTATATAGACCCAAGATATAAAATTGCTCGACATTGTCTGACGTACTCCTATATGTCTTTTTGTGCATATAAAATAAATTTTTTTAGTGTTTACTTTTTGCCTAGAACTTAAACATAAACATTTTCTTTGGTGAATGATGAACAACTTGTAAGGCTAGAACTAATTCCTAAGGCTGAAATTTCTTGGATATAAATACTCCAACAATCATTAAAAATAAAAAAAATTGAATGAAGGACACAAACCAATAAGAAAAATAGTGACTAATAAAAAAATATTACAAGAACAAATAGATTATATGTTTCTCTAACAACCATGAAAATAAAAAATGAACGAAGGCACAAATCAATAAGAAAAATAGTGACCAATAAAAAATACTCCTTACAGAAGAACTATTAGATGATGAAAACAAAGTGTGGTGGATTAATATTTTTATCCAATTCATAAAGGGAGAAATTAAGTACATGAAAGGTTTGTGCATGAATGTGTTTAATGGTAGAAGCTACAAAGTTTAAACAATCAAATTCATTAAGAAATGGAAAATGATAAGTTGTAACATCTAATCATATATTTGGTCTAGTTTAATTATCATTATTGATTTAGTTTTAAAAATTAGTAAAAGATTTTTTAATTTAAAAAATTGGTGAAGGGCATTTTCGTAATCTAACTTTAAACTTAAAATCTTTACACTTATAATAATATATGATATGATTAAAATATTTTTAAAACCTAATTAATTAAACATCAAGTAACAATATTTTAGTTATTTTTTAGATCATGAGTTATTTATTAGCATGAAAATTAAATAATTATTAATTATATTGTATAATAAATTAACCAAAACAAATAGTTACAAATTAAATGCAAGTGCATATATGGTGAAGAATTCAATTACAAATTAATTGCAAATGAATGTATGGTGAAGAAACCAAGAGTTATTTGTATGACTTCTTTTTTTCAGCATGACTTTTGAGTTTCTATATGTCATTATATATTTAGTAACTTTCGATTTTTCAGGTTGAAGTAATGTTGAATGAAAGAAAATCTACATATACACGCATATATTATGTTCTACTTATAGATTCTATTATGTATTTATTCTTTTATATTTGCTCTATTTTGTTTGCTTTTTAAATTTAATTTTTTGTTGTTTGTTTTATCTTTTTCACCCCAAGTCATGGAATACTATTATACTCGTCATATGATTATTTTTAGAGTTGAAAAGTTGGAAAACACTAATGTTAGTTTTTCTTTTTGATAGTTACGTATTTTAAACTAAAGTACTTAAAAACTAAATAAATCCTATAAAATTGAATGCTCACATACAATTTAAAGACATATTTTTACTTTTCGATCAAATTCCTTTCTTTGGATATTTTTCACCAAAAGTTAGTAATAATAAGAAAATGTATGACCCCCCCCCCACCCACCCAAAAAAAAAAAAAATTTGAACAACTTCAACAGTGGACTTTTGGAACACAAAATCTCTTCCTTTATTTGAAATATAGTATTTAATAATATTCATGAAGTTTTAAAAAAATAAATACATTGATATGGAGTACCTTCAAAATTGGATTACATTTCAAAAACTAATTAATTTATAATGACGTAACAAAGCCTATTCAGATTCTTGATGTTATTGTGTCTTTATGCTATTAAACTTTAATTCAAATTACACTTGAACGTGTAATTGCATGAATTACCATAGATAATTTTTATTATGAGATGATATATTGTAGTTGAATTTGTATTTTAGAGGATTAATTCATTGTTTGAAGTTCTTTGTCTAATTTAATGTGGCATCGCACGAAGCACATTGATCTTAATAGTTTGTCATGTAACATTTGACATTATCTATACATTTTAACTAATTATTTCTATTAAATTCGATTATGAAAGGACTCTGAAGTTTCAGGTAAAAGGTAACCTATATCCCTTTCAAAAGTTTATATAACTTATCACACATTTAATCTAATATTATTTTAATAAACTATCACTCTTAGCCTGAAATACACGTGCAACGCACAAACTTGAAAATTAGTCTTTTAATAAACATTACTTGATAATCTGGAGAAAAAAAAATGAATTTCAATTTTTCGTCAATTTATTTAGTGAAAGGCTAAAGCATAGCTATAGTGCTGATAGATAAAATCTGGAGAAATTCCCAATGGATAATGATAAGAGATATGAGTGTATTGTAAGCTCAACAAATCAGAGGGTAGAGTTCAATCCTTGTAGCCACACATAGGAGGACAATATTGGATGGGTCCCTTTAGTTGTAAACGTCTTGTAAAATTGGAGATTGCCAAGAGTGCATTAATTGCTACACATGGGATCTTGATATCCAATGAGATCATAGATATAGATATCACTAGATAATTAAGACTCTTTTTCCCTCTTAATTACTCCCTATATATATGGTGAATTAGTTCCTTTGTAACTTCATCTCATCAAAACCAACTTCAACAGTATCATCAAACACTTACATTTCTCTTGATATAAACACAATGGCAGCTGCAACAATGGCTCTTTCTTCCCCTTCTTTTGCTGGACAGGCGGTGAAACTCTCACCCTCTGCCTCAGAAATCTCTGGAAATGGAAGGATCACTATGAGAAAGGCTGTCGCCAAGTCAGCCCCATCTAGCAGCCCATGGTATGGCCCTGACCGTGTTAAGTACTTGGGACCATTCTCTGGTGAGTCACCAAGCTACTTGACCGGTGAATTCCCTGGTGACTACGGCTGGGATACCGCTGGACTTTCAGCAGACCCAGAAACCTTTGCCAAGAACCGCGAACTTGAGGTGATCCACTGCAGATGGGCTATGCTTGGTGCTCTTGGCTGTGTCTTCCCTGAGCTATTGGCTCGTAACGGCGTCAAGTTCGGTGAGGCTGTGTGGTTCAAAGCTGGATCCCAAATCTTCAGTGAGGGTGGACTTGACTACTTGGGCAACCCAAGCTTGGTCCATGCACAAAGCATCTTGGCCATCTGGGCTTGCCAAGTTGTACTCATGGGAGCCGTTGAAGGTTACCGTATTGCTGGTGGCCCTCTTGGTGAGGTTGTCGACCCACTCTACCCTGGTGGCAGCTTCGACCCACTGGGTCTTGCTGAAGACCCAGAGGCATTTGCTGAGCTCAAGGTAAAGGAGATCAAGAACGGTAGACTTGCCATGTTCTCTATGTTCGGATTCTTCGTTCAAGCTATTGTTACCGGAAAGGGTCCATTGGAGAACCTTGCTGACCACCTTGCAGACCCCGTTAACAACAACGCTTGGGCTTTTGCCACAAACTTTGTCCCCGGAAAATGAAACTTTTTAAACAATCTTAATATTCCTTGTAAAGTAGTAGTGAGTTACTTGACAATAGAATGGATTGTTTTTCTTTAATATTTCAATGTTTGTGTAGTACTGAGTAACATCTTACTAAGCTATGAATCAAATGTTGCCACTTTCATAACAAAGGATAATCAAAGAAAGAGAACAGAGCAAAAAAGACAGAAGATACATATATATGAGATATGGTAACTAGAAAAACTCTAAAGCTGTGACAGGCTTACAACATCGAATTTTCAGACCAGAAGAACTTAGGGAATTCAATCAACTCTCAAGAAGCAATACTCAAAATTAGAGCAAAGTATTAATTTTGAAAAATAAGATGTTATTACATCATTCATTAATTTTGTCGAGAGGTTAAAGAGGAAATAGAGGACGTTATATCATTTCACGACTAGAACATTAACAGTTCAATAATAAGGGAAGAAAGCCAATATGTTTTTTAGTCTGAAATGTAGTTATTAGAAACATATAAGTTTCCAGGTCCTTATATTATGTGCCTTTAATTTGGATAGCATCTTTGAACAGATTCGTAAATCTCTTATACATCCTCCTTTCTCACATATCTGACAAATCCTTTGACATAGTAATGACCAGAGCCAAAGGACACACTTATATAGTTAGCAGAAGACACAAGTAATGCTATATATGACACTTACTGGCAACAAATTCTAAGTTGTATGCACTAATAACGTAAGCAATATTTACACAATCAAGTTACTTAGTAAGTTACTAAAGGTAAATCCCTTGATAAACATTAATTGGTATTCTGGTTAAAAATAGTAACTGATCTACTATCACATGTTAAAATTTATGGATAGTGTAAAAACATCTTTACACTGTTAGTAAATTCTATTTCTCTTAACACAGAAAAAATTGTGATACTGATGAATATCAACAAATTAAAATCTGTGTTCATGTCCTTCAGAACAAGCACTTTCCAAGTCTCAGCATCTGTTGCTCATGTAGTGGTTAAGTACTAAGCTGCGTTGAATCTCTACGCATAAATTAACAGTATCTTGAATGAGCATATGAAAATATAACATGCGTGGCTAACATAAACAACTTTGTCAATTGAGGTCTAATATATTAATAAAGTTTCAATTGCATTGCTTCCCAAACATAAACATGCATTATTGATCTCCCACAATTTATGAATTTAATTGTGGCATCTTTTACCATGAAGGTAGACAAATTCCAAGTGGATAATGATATGGACATCATATTGTGAGCTCAACATTGAATGAGCTGTAGTGCTGATAGATGAAATCTGGAGAAATTTCAAATGGATAATGACAAAGATATCAGTAGTGTAAACTCAACAAATCAGAGGGCAGAGTTCAATCTTTACAGCCACACAAAGGAGGGCAATATTGGATGGGCCCCTTAAGTAATAAACATCATGCAGATTGGAGATTGCCAAGTGCATTAATCGCTACACATGGGATCTTGATACCCAATGAGATTATAGATATAGATATCACTAGATAATTACGGCTCTTTCCCTCTTTCTTAATCCCTATATATGGTGAATTAATTCCCTTGTAACTTCATCTCATCACAGCCTTCAACAATATTTAATACCATAAAATACTCAACACTTTTCTCTTAATATAAATCATGGCAGCTGCTGCAATGGCTCTTTCTTCCCCTTCATTTGCTGGACAGGCAGTCAAACTCTCACCATCTGCCTCAGAAAATTCTGGAAATGGAAGGATCACTATGAGAAAGGCTGTCGCCAAGTCTGCCCCATCTAGCAGCCCATGGTATGGCCCTGACCGTGTTAAGTACTTGGGACCATTCTCTGGTGAGTCCCCAAGCTACTTGACTGGCGAATTCCCTGGTGACTACGGCTGGGATACCGCTGGACTTTCAGCTGACCCTGAGACCTTTGCCAAGAACCGTGAACTTGAGGTGATCCACTGCAGATGGGCTATGCTTGGTGCTCTTGGATGTGTCTTTCCTGAGCTCTTGGCCCGCAACGGTGTAAAGTTTGGTGAGGCTGTGTGGTTCAAGGCCGGATCCCAGATCTTCAGCGAGGGTGGACTTGACTACTTGGGCAACCCAAGCTTGGTCCATGCACAAAGCATCTTGGCCATCTGGGCTTGTCAAGTTGTGTTGATGGGAGCCGTTGAAGGTTACCGCATTGCTGGTGGACCTCTTGGTGAGGTTGTCGACCCACTCTACCCCGGTGGCAGCTTCGACCCATTAGGCCTTGCTGAAGACCCTGAGGCATTTGCCGAGCTCAAGGTAAAGGAGATTAAGAACGGCAGACTTGCTATGTTCTCGATGTTTGGATTCTTCGTTCAAGCCATTGTTACTGGAAAGGGTCCATTGGAAAACCTTGCTGACCACCTTGCAGACCCCGTTAACAACAACGCTTGGGCTTTCGCCACAAACTTTGTTCCCGGAAAATGAAAATCTTAAACATTCTTAAAATTTGATTGTTTGATGGCCTTGTAAAGTAGTTGTCAGTAATTACTTGACATTAGAATGGATTATTTTTTTTCAATATTCAAAATTTCCAATGATTGTGTAATCCTGAGTTACATTTTTCAAAGCCACGAATAAAAAATATTGCCACTTTTATACCAAAGGGTAGAAGAAAGAGACCAAAGAAAAAATAATTGAGAATTAAGATGTCGTAACTAGAAAAACTATATGCTGTTATAAGATTAAAACTTGAATTATGGAATTCAATTAATTCTGGATAAGCAATACTCAAAATTAGTGTAAAGTACTAATGTTGAACACCATGACGTTATTACATGATTCCTTATTTTTCTATCGAGAAGCGAAAGAGGAAATAAGAAGACATTGTTTCATTTCAATGCTAAGTGAAAACCAATGTGTTTAACATATGACTTTACAGGTCCTTGCATTATATGTCCTGTGAAAAAATTCATAAATTTCTTGAAAAATCATCCTTCATAACATTGATACCATCTTTAGATTAAAAGATCTTTCCAAACAAGGCGCATAGTAATGACCATAGCCAAAGCACATACTTGTATAGTTAGTTCGCAGAAGAGACAACATGACACTTATTGGCAACAAATTTAAGCTATGCACTGGTAATATAAAAATTATATACAATCAGTTTTACTTATAAAGTAATATATGTAAATCCGTTGATAACCATTACTCCAATGGTAGTCTCGTAAAAATAGGGAATTGACTTACTATCACATGTTAAATTTTATGGATACGGCAAAAACATCTTTATACTGTCAGTGTATATAACTTAAATCTACAATTAGTAAAAATATATTGTGGTGCTGATGAATTCTAACAAATTAACGTGTTTGTTCATGTTCTTCTGAATAAGCTCTTTCAGAGTTTCACCATTGCTCATGTAGCAGTTAAGTACTGGAACTAAGCCGCATTAAATCTGTAAACATGAATTAACAATGTCTTGAATGAGCATAAAACAAGATAGCATGTGTTGCTGACATAAACAACTTTGTCAATTGGGGTCTAATATGTTAATAAAGTTTCAATCACATTGTTTTCCAAACATAAACATGCATTATTAATTTCCCACAATTTATGCATCAAGGTGGTAATAAATTTAAACTTCTCCTCGAATTTCCTAAACCATAGTTCTACATCTTTTACCCTGCAGGTAGACAAAATCTATAGAAATGGCAAGTGGATAATGATAGGGATATCATATTGTAAGCTCAATATATCACAGGGTGGATTTCAATCCTTGTGGCAATATATGAGAGGACAATACTGAATGTGTCCCTTCTTGGAAAATTAATGAGTTGTAGATTCAAGTTGCTACAATATATGGGATCTTGATATCCAATGAGATCATATGTATAGATATCACTGGATAAGAGGATTCTCTCTCTCTAATTACCTCCTATATATTCTGAACCCCAACTACTTCAGCTTCATCACAACCAACTTTGACATTTCAAACACTCATCACTTTTCTCTTGTTATAAACCATGGCAGCTTCTACAATGGCTCTTTCTTCCCCTTCTTTTGTTGGGCAGGCAGTGAAACTCTCACCCTCTGCCTCAGAAATCTCTGGAAATGGAAGGATCACTATGAGAAAGGCTGTTGCCAAGTCTGCCCCGTCTAGCAGCCCATGGTATGGACCAGACCGTGTTAAGTACTTAGGCCCATTCTCTGGTGAGTCCCCAAGCTACTTGACCGGTGAATTCCCTGGTGACTACGGCTGGGATACCGCTGGACTTTCAGCTGACCCTGAAACTTTTGCCAAGAACCGTGAACTTGAGGTGATCCACTGCAGATGGGCTATGCTTGGTGCTCTTGGATGTGTCTTCCCTGAGCTATTGGCCCGTAATGGTGTCAAGTTCGGTGAGGCTGTGTGGTTCAAGGCTGGATCCCAGATCTTCAGCGAGGGTGGACTTGATTACTTGGGCAACCCAAGCTTGGTCCATGCACAAAGCATCTTGGCCATCTGGGCTTGTCAAGTTGTGTTGATGGGAGCCGTTGAGGGATACCGCATTGCTGGTGGACCTCTTGGTGAGGTTGTCGACCCACTCTACCCCGGTGGCAGCTTCGACCCATTAGGCCTTGCTGAAGACCCGGAGGCATTTGCTGAGCTTAAGGTTAAGGAGATCAAGAACGGCAGACTTGCTATGTTCTCTATGTTTGGGTTCTTTGTTCAGGCCATTGTTACCGGAAAGGGTCCATTGGAGAACCTCGCTGACCACCTTGCGGATCCAGTTAATAACAATGCCTGGGCCTTTGCCACAAACTTTGTTCCTGGAAAATGAATATCATAAATTGATGGCCTTGTAAAGTTGTAATTGTGAGTTTACTAGACAATATAATGGATTTTTCTTATATTCCAACTATGGTGTAGTATATAATTCCATTTTCCAATTGCATGAATGAAATACTGCAAGATTCATATCAAAGGGGGAAAAAAGATGACTAAGCAAAAACAAAAAAGAAAAACCAATATACATTTGGAATGTGGTAAAAGCTTAAATCTTGAATATACAGACACAGGAACTTAAGGAATTCAATTTATCCTCAAGAATCAATAATAGTCTTAACTTAATGCCAAGAATAACATTGAACAACATGATGTTATTGACATGATTCCTAATTTTTCTATCTGAGAAGTGAGATGATT